AATTGGGGGGGGGGAGCAGGGGAGTCATTCATTATTTTATTTTATCTTATTATTTTATTTTATTTTATGATTTATTTCATTTTCTCTCATTGTGAAATAGAAAGAAAATAATAAAATAGGCAGATATCTACAAAAAGAGAGATTTTATTGACAGTGCTTCAAAACTCATTATGGAACTAGGTTTTATAGAAAACTTAGGACTTTGGAGAATACTGTAAATATGGAATTATTCATACATAAAACCATTATCAGGACCAGAATTTCCATTGCTAAGCAATGGATTTTATGAGCTTTTTTGGCAGGATTGTTAAGCAAGACCACAGTTGCTATTAAGCGAATCGTGCAGTCGTTAAGTGAATCTGGCTTTCCCCTTTGATGTTGTCAGAAATTGGCTGGGAAGGTTGCAAATGATGAACATGTGACCCCGGGGCCACTGCAAAACTGTCATTAAGGACATGCCTGTTGCCAAGTACCCAATTTGTGATCCGTGTGACCATGGGAATGCCACAATGGTCATAAGTATGAAAAGTCATAAGTCACTTTTCTCACTGCCGTCGTAACTTCGTACGGTCGCTAAATTAATGGTTCATTTAGTGACTGTTCCAAATTACAGCAGCACTTATGACTGTTTTTCCCACTTACGACCGTCGCAGCATCCCCATGGTCACGTGATTAAACTTCAGATGCTTAACAACTGACTCACATTTATGACAGTCGTAGTGTCCTGGGGTCACATGACCCCCTTTTGCCACCTTCTGACAGTGGGGGAGCCAGATTCACTTAACAACCATGTCACTAACTTAACAGCTGCAATGCTGCAAGAAAGATGGTAAAATAGGGCAAACGCACTTGAATTTCTCACTTAGCAACATAAATTTTGGGCTCCGTTGAGCTCGTCAGCCGAAGACTGCCTGTATTCACGGATGCTAAGGGCCAAGCTCAGTTTACGGCAGATTCCAAGGGGAGATCTGGGTTTGTGAATTCAGCCGCGGCAGTTTCAGGAACTGCATGTCTGAATGAGCCAATCTCTGAGATAGATTGGCCAATCTTCCCATCATTTCATCTCCTAAGGCAGTAGTCCCCAACCTTTTGGGCGCCAGGGACCCGTTCTGTGGAGAGAGGTTTTTCCGCGGACCGGGGGGTACGTGGTTTTGTGTGCTGCCTGCATCCCACGGATGGGGCTTTGCTTGTTTGTGCGGACCGGTGGCTGGCATGCTGCGGCCCTGTACTGATCCACAGACCGGGGGTTGGGGACCCCTGTCTTAAGCAATTGACCAAAGCAGGGTCCAGGCAGATGGTCACACTGGGACCCAGAAGGCCCAAAACTGATGAACTTTTTAGGCATTTGCTTCTAAGCCTTGATAAGTGTCCTGATGTTGTGTTCAGAGCTGTGGTGCCCCAAATTTGTCTCAATATTGCAGTGTTTCTCAACTTTGACAATTTTAAGGCATGTGGACTTCAACTCCCAGAATTCCACAGCCAGCAATGCTGGCTGTGGAATTCTGGGAGTTGAAGTCCACATGCCTTAAAATTGTCAAGGTTGAGAAACACTGCAATATTGTGAGTCACTTCACCTTCACTTTGGGGCAGAAGGTTTCCTGAAGGAGGCAGCTGGTCAGCAGAGTTGTAACTCTTGGCAAATATGAAACATGAGGTATAGTACGCACAAAAAGACTTAAAATATTAGAGAAGGAGAGGCTTGCTGTTTAAGAAACTTACTTTGTAAGCATATCCAAAGAGGACTTGGAGCAGTTTTGCAATTCCCCTTAAAACTCAAAACCAGTGTTTCTCAGCCTTCACGACTTAAAAGGTGAGTGGGCTTTAACTCTCAGCATTCCCAAGTCAGTTGTGCTAGTTAAGGAATTCTGGGAGTCAAAGTCTACAAATCTTAAATATGCTGAGATCGACATCAACGTCAAATGTGAACTTCCAATCCCAGAATTCCCCAGCCAGCACATGCTTTAGGACAGGGGCGTCAAACTCAATTTCATTAAGAGCCGTATCAGCATCGCGGTTGCCCTCACGGGGCCAGGTGGGTGTGGCCAGGGTGGGTGTGGCCTACTGGGTGGGTGTGGATGGAGTGGGTGCGGCCTACTGGATGGGCGTGGCCAGCTCTACATCGTTCCCGTCAAGGGTGCCTGTGGGGGTCTGGGCAGGAGTGGGACAGATCTGAGGGTCTCTGGCAGAAGGGGGTGGGACCGGGGCAAGCGCCAAGACATGGTCCACTGGAGGAGCCTCACTCTTCCTCTCAGGCCATGTGGGGGGGGGGGCTTATGGAGCTAAGACTGAATGCGTTTCAGCATAGTTGGCCACCACAAAATTGTACATTGGCTCCCGGCCGGCTTGGGCCAGGGTCAAGGCAGCGGGGGCCGTTCCCTCACTGTGTCCAGGATGGCTTCGCGTGCTGCATGAAACCACTTCGTGGGCCACATCCAGCCCCCAGCCCTTGTGTTTGACATGTCTGCTTTAGGATGTGTGGACTTCAATTCCCATATGGCTGGGGAATTCTGGGGGTTGAAGTCCACCTTTCTTCACACTGCTAAGGTTGAGAAATGCATTCTCAACATTCTCTGCATTCTCAAAATGCAGACCCACTCACAAAATCTGTCCTCAGAGTCACACATGTATTGCTCATACGTATTTCCATTGTTGTTGGTTAGCTTTAAGAAATATTTATAGCTATAGCATAGGTTGAGAAATAAAAATTAAAGAGATGGGGGGGGACTTGAAGTTCACTGGGGATGGGATTAGGGTTAGGGTTCTTCATCCCCAATGTTGGGATGACACCACTTGGATGTGTTTTGGAATTTCTAAATGGCTTTAGGAGTTGGAAAACCCCTGGACCCATGATACACTTCCTCGGGGCAAGCAGAAACATGGTACTGAACATCCTTGACCCAGTAGAACAGTGGTTCTCAGCCTGTGGGTCGGGACCCCATTTGGGGTCGAACGACCATTTCACGGGGGTCGCCAAACAACGCAGTCCACCATTTTGTTTTCCCCTTTTCTTTAGCTGTGCTCCTCCCTTTTATTCTATTGGCTTTTGAAAGCCAATAGAATAGACTTTCTTGAATAGAGTCTCATTCTATTGGCTTTCAAAAGCCAATAGGAATTGTCCAGGCTGTCTCTGCCCTGCTGAGCCCGCCAAAAGTCCCAGTCTGCAAACGGTGCTGCAGCAGCTGAGTAGTCCTCGACTTATGACCGGTTGAGTAGTCCTCGACTTACGACCGGTTGGGGGTCGCGGCATTAAAAAGGTTGAGAACCACTGCAGTAGAAGGACTTCTGTTGGGATCTCCAGATACTTTCTTCAGCATTTCCTGGAAAGTCCTTGAAGCTTACAGTGGAAATGTTCCTTGCCCAGTTCATATTAATAATACAAATAAAAATAATAATTAAAATTGAGCTCCTCTTTTTAACTGCTGGTGGCCTTTGGGAACCTTTTTCCAGGATGGACCAAGGACCATCTTAACAACGGCAACAGCAGATATAATAATTACCATAAAAGACGCAAGAGTTTCAATGGTTTTGCCCAGCCGAGTCACCTGGAGAGCTTCTCCCTTCTCCAACGCTTTGTCTGTTCCCCTGCCCGAATCAGCCCTGGCCTCAAAAGGTTCCAAAAATAATTTGCACAAAGAGGCAGCCCAGATCAGTTGGGGAAAAAAAAAAAAAGAGTCTCCCACTTCCTGAACTGGCCTCTGAGTATCTTCGGGATCTCTCGCACGTTGGAGGAGAAGTTGACTTCGGTGTTGGCCAAAGTCCTGGGAAGAAGGAAGAGGCCTTTAGGAGATCCCGAGGTGGACAGCTTGCAGCTGGGTGGACCGGTGGCTCAGAAAAAGGGGACCTGAGTCTCAAGGGCTCTTTGCCACTCCTCCAAAAGAGAGGCACCAGGAAGCAGTTAGGAGGAGGGCTCAGAGCTGGCTTGGATCTGGGAATCTGGCAAGGAAGGGGGGGTGAGCCATCAGACCAAGTGTCCCCGTCCGTTGATGTAGATGCCGTTGGAGGTGGGCTTCGCTCGGAGGGTGCCGTTCTCTTGGACGAAGTGAGTCATTGCTTGCTTGATATTGTTTTCGTCGTTCCGCTGTTCCTCTTCTTCTTTCTCCTTCTCCTTCTCCTCCACCTGATCTTCTGGGACAGGGGTGGGGGGCGGTGGGGGAAGCTCGGTCTGGGTCTCAATCTCCCGGACGGTGGATAAGGTTGAGTAGCTACGTCCCTCAGCTTCTTCTCCCTGTGCAGGCCGAAAGGAAGAAGAGTCACCAAAGGGGCAATGGGGTGATGGTGCCAGATGGGGACCTGGCCCCCAACTCAAGGTCTTGCTCAGCCACAGAAGTTCACAAGTTGAACTTATAACAACTTATAACCATTCACTTAGTGACCATTCAATAGTTACAATGGCACTGAAAAAGTAAACTTATGACCGTTTTTCCCCACTGAGGACTGTTGCAGCATCCCCCATGGGTCATGTCATCAAATTCAAATGCTTGGCAACTGATTCATATTTATGACGGTTGAAGTGCCCTGGGATCATGTGATCCCCCTTTGCGACCTTCTCACAAGTAAAGTCAATGGGGAAGCTGGATTCACTTTACAACCATATTAATAGGATAGAATAGAATAGAATAGAATAGAATAGAATAGAATAGAATAGAATAGAATAGAATAGAATAGAATAGAATAGAATAGAATAGAAAATATGGAATGGAATGGAATAGAATAGAATGGAATAGAATAGAATAGAATAGAATAGAATAGAAAGAATAGAATAGAATAGAATAGAATAGAATAGAAAGATAGAATAGAATAGAAAATATGGAATGGAATGGAATAGAATAGAATAGATAGAATAGAATAGAATAGAATAGAAATAATGAATAGAATAGATAGAATGGAATGGAATGGAATAGAATAGAATAGAATAGAATAGAATAGAATAGAATAGAATAGAATGAAGAATAGAATAGAATAGAATAGAATAGAATAGAATAGAATAGAATAGAATAATGGAATGAAGAATAGAATAGAATAGAATAGAATAGAATAGAATAGAATAGAATAGAATAGAATAGAAAATATGGAATGAAATGGAATAGAATAGAATAGAATAATGGAATGAAGAATAGAATAGAATAGAATAGAATAGAATAGAATAGAATAGAATAGAATAGAATAGAATAGAATAGAATAGAATAGAATAGACTTTATTTGGCCAAGTATGGTTAGATAGACAAGGAATTTGTCTCTGGTACAGAAGCACTCAGTGTACTTGCAAAATAAATAGAGATAATAATGCTAATATTAAAAGTATGCCTCCAGTAGAAGGTGGAAACAGGTAATAAAGGACGAAATAATACTACAGCCATACTTTATGAGTTAATATACATTAGTCAGCATAATCAACCCATTAAAAAAAAAAGAAAAGAACGCAAGAATGAAAATCCCAGAACCCTACACTCTGCCAGCCTCGCAAAGCTGAGCCCCTCAGAGCCACCCGAGGCAGCCTCCTTGCTTTTGACTCTGCTCACCATCACTGAGCAGAGGCTGGTCTCCCGGAAGCTGTCCGTCCGGAAGCTGCCTTGCCTGCTGTCCCGGCAGAGACTGTCCGCTCGGAGGCTTTCCCGGCACAGGCTGTCCCCGCGGAAACTCCCTTGCCGGCTCTCCGCCCTCAGGGGAAGGTTTTCCTCAATCTGAAGAGCAGAGAAATAGAAGGGCGAGAAGCTGATCTCCATGTTCTGTGGAGGGCCTTTCTTCCTGCTCAGCCAGGTGGCCTTCTCACCTGGTGCTTCGCGCTCAGACTCTGAGGGAGACTCTGAGGAGGACCACGGAGATGTTATGAAGTCCTTCAGAATTACAGAATGACAGAGTTGGAGGGTCTTTGGAGGTCTCTTAACCCGACCCCTGCTCACTGTTAGCCCTGATGATGTTACCTAGTTGGGTCATGAAATGTCTGCAAGGCACAACCAAGCTCAGAGAGCATCAAGGACCCCACAGTCCTCCTTCTCCTTTTCCTTCTCCTTCTCCTTCCCCTTTTCCTTCTCCTTCTCCTTCTCCTCCTCCTCCTTCTCCTTCTCCTTCCCCTTTTCCTTCTCCTTCCCCTTTTCCTTCTCCTTCTCCTTCTCCTCCTCCTCCTTCTCCTTCCCCTTTTCCTTCTCCTTCTCCTCCTCCTTCTCCTTCCCCTTCTCCTTCTCCTTCTCCTTCCCCTTTTCCTTCTCCTTCTCCTTCTCCTCCTCCTCCTCCTTGTCCTTGTCCTTCTCCTTCCCCTTCCCCTTTTCCTTCTCCTCCTCCTCCTCCTCCTCCTTCTCCTTCCCCTTTTCCTTCTCCTTCTCCTTCTCTCCTCCTTCTCGATTCTCCTTCTCCTTCCCCTTTTCCTTCTCCTTTCCTCCTTCTCCTCCTCCTCCTCCTCCAGCGAGAAATAATCCTATACCTGGGTGGCGAACCTATGGCAAACGGGGGTCCCCCCCAGAGGCGGCATTCCAGAGCCTCCTCGGGGAAAAAAAAGATCTTGCAAAGTTGGAATTGATTGATTGAACTTTTTAGTCCCACCCAGTCTGCTGTTACCACTGCAGCCACGCCCACCCAATGGGCCACACCCACCCGGCACCTGACGATGCATAAGTGGGTTTGGGGTTGCAGTTTGGGCACTCGGTCTCTAAAAGGTTCACTATCACTGGACTATACCATCACAGACAGACGGCTGTCCAGTCTCTTCTTAAAGCCTCCAATGATGGAGCACCCACAACTTCTGGAGGCAGGTTGTTCCACTGATTAATTGTCCTCACTGTCAGGAAGTTTTTCCTTAGTTCTAGGATGCTTCTCTCCTTGTTTAGTTTCCATCCATTGTTTCATATCCTGCCCTCTGGTGCTTTGGAGAATAAGTTGACCCCCCTCTTTTTGTAGCAGCCCCTCAAATTTTGGAAGATACTATTATGTCACCCGTAGTCCTTCTTTTTAATAAACTAAACAAACTAATTCCTGCCTCCAATCACAGAAAGACAACTGGGTCTCTCTGTCTGCTCTCAAAAACAAAACATGCTATGTTATTATAAAGGCTTTCCCATAATACTAAATAATGCAGAATTTAACTTTGTAGGTTTATCCCAAAGGTGCTTTTTCAAAAGGCAACTGGACTTTGTTTTTTCTTTCTTTTCTTCGCTTCTCACCCAAGAAACTTCTTCAGTTCTACACTGACATTGTTTTGCCTTTATCATTATAGGTTTCAAAGGTATCGTTAGCCATGCAGGGTTGTGAGAACAAGATGGGTGGCCATCTCTACAAATCGTCACGAGAAATGGAACCTAATTTTCGTTCTGGCTTTTTCCTTTTTCTGGGGTGTCTCCCCAAGCCCTGAGTTCAAACCAGCTCTACATTAAATGAATGTCCTAAGGCAGTGGTTCTCAACCTGTGGGTCGGGACCCCATTTGGGGTCGAACGACCATTTCACGGGGGTCGCCAAACAACGCAGTCCGCCATTTTTCCCCCCTTTTCCTTAGCTGTGCTCCTCCCTTTTATTCTATTGGCTTTTGAAAGCCAATAGAATAGACTCTCTTGAATAGAGTCTCATTCTATTGGCTTTCCAAAGCCAATAGGAATTGTCCAGGCTGTCTCTGCCCTGCTGAGCCCGCCCAAAGTCCCATTCTGCAAACGGTGCTGCACCAGTTGAGTAGTCCTCGACTTATGACCGGTTGAGTAGTCCTCGACTTATGACCGGTTGGGGATCGCGGCATTAAAAAGGTTGAGAACCACTGCCCTAAGGCTTCAGAAGTACTGAGGAAATGTGCGATATTTTCTCAGAACAAAGACCTGGAAATGCTTCCTAGCTGCATGTTTTTCACACTTGCTTCCTCTAGGGAGTGCTGGAGGATTTCGGTGGCTCAGTATATGAAAAGGACAGGATGTGAAAATAAATCAAAAAATCAAGAAAGACGCCTGCCTAGGCTGAGCAGAGTTATCGCTATAATAGCTAAATGGCCCCTGCCTGTCCAGAAGTGGCATGGCAGTGGTGTGGCTATTAGGACACAGCTATCCTCATGGTAGTCCAACTGGATGAAATTTCCAGACAGTGAGAACAATTAACCAACCAATTGTTTGGTTTGCCTTTAGAAGTTGTGGGTGCTCCATCAATGGAAGTTTTCAAGAAGAGACTGGACAGACATTTCTCTGAAAGAGGGTCACCCTATTCTCCAAAGTACCCAAAGGCCAGACAAGGAACAGTGGATGGAAATTAATCAAGGAGAGAAGCAACCTAGAACTAAGGAGAAACATCTTAACATGGAGAACAATTAATCAGTGGAATGGCTGGCCTTCAGAGGTTGTGGGTGCTCCATCACTGGAAGTTTTCAAGACGAGATTGGACAGCCATTGGTTCAGAATGGTATAGGGTCTCCTGCTCGATCAGGGGCTGGACTAGAAGACCTCTAAGATCTCTTTCCACTCTGTTCTTCTGGAATTCGGTTAATCAGTGGAACAGGTTGCCTCCAGGAGTTGTGGATGCTCCATCGCTGGACATTTTGAAGGAGAGACTGAACAGCCATTTGTCCAGTATGGTATAGGGCAGGGGTAGGCAACCTTGGCTCTTTTATGACTGTTGGACTTCAACTCCCAGAATTCCTGAGCCAGCCATGCTGAGGGGAAAGGGATAGTTTCCAAGCTGAGCCATGTTGGCTCAGGAATTCTGGGAGTTGAAGTCCATGAGTCATAAAGCGGCCTAGGCCAGGGGTAGGCAACCTTGGCTCTTTTATGACTGTTGGACTTCAACTCTCAGAATTCCTGAGCCAGCCATGCTGAGGGGAAAGGGATAGTTTCCAAGCTGAGCCATGCTGACTCAGGAATTCTGGGAGTTGAAGTCCACGAGTCATAAAAGAGCCAAGGTTGCCTACCCCTGGTATAGGGTTTCCTGCTTGAGCAGGGGGGTGGACTAGAAGATCTCCAAGGTCCCTTCCAACTCTGTTATTCTGTGTGGCCTTTCTGTGAAGGCTTGTCAACTTTGTGATTCCACGTCCTATGGCCAGTCCTGAGTTTACCCAGAAGGCAGTGAATTTTCCTGCACAACTCACAACCCAACCTGTGTGCTTTTCACACTTCTCCATCACCATCACACCTGAAGTCTTTACCTGATGCCGGGTCTCCGTGCTGTGGCTCGAATGCAGGCGCCGGATTGAGTTTTCCCGGGTCAAAGTCAGTTCTTCCTCACTGTCAAAGACAAGGAGAGGGAAACTGAGGGTGTGGCTTGCTGAAAATGCCACCCCCCTAGGCCCAGCCGTTAGCTCAATTTCGTGGTTCTGACTCCAAAAGAAGGAGTAGGCTTGCCTCTCCACAAAGTGGAGTTGAAGTCCACAACCTGAAGATGGGTGGACTTCAACTCTCAATGGGAATCAACTGCATGGATGGGTGGACTTCAACTTCCAGACTCCTGGAAGAATATTTCTCAACCTTCGTCACTTGAAGATGGGTGGACTTCAACTCCCAATGTGAGTCGACTTCATGGATGGGTGGACTTTAACTTCCAGACTCCTGGAAGAATATTTCTCAACCTTCGTCACTTGAAGATGGGTGGACTTCAACTCTCAATGTGAATCAACTGCATGGATGGGTGGACTTTAACTTCCAGACTCCTGGAAGAATATTTCTCAACCTTCGTCACTTGAAGATGGGTGGACTTCAACTCCCAATGTGAGTCGACTTCATGGATGGGTGGACTTCAACTCCCAGAATTCTGGGAGTTGAAGTCCACCCATCTTTAAGTGGCCAAGATTGTCCTAGACAGAGACCAGCATCAACCAGTGCTATTTCTTCTGCCATATCTAAATGTAGCTATGGCTCCTTTTCCCTGTTTTGCTTCATCCCACCCTTGACCTCCTTCACCACCCAAGGTCCTCCTTCATCCCTCTGAGCTTCTCCAACCCAAGGACGATGACCCACGGATCTGAAATTCAGACCGACCTGTCCTCATGAGCTTCTCACAAGACAAGTTTGATCACAAGAGGGGAGGAAACCGACACGAGTTTCCACGCAACCTTTCCTTACTATTTCTCTGTGATGCGTTTCGTTTTCCGCTTGTGGTAGCACGTCATGAGGACGATCACCAGGATCAGCAGGCTGACCAAGACCACCGAAATGATGCCCACGCCAATCATGGAGATGGAGACCACATCCACCTGCTGAGCTGGGAGTCCTGGGGGGTGAGAGAGGAAGGTTACAGCAGCTCACGTCAAGCTCAGAAAAATCAGAAATTATAGACCGGTTTCATTTTTCTGATTTGAAGGGCAGAGATATATTTTTTTTCTAATTCCGTTGAGCCATATCTGATTCTCAGAAGATGCCTGGACATGTCTCAGCAGTTTCCTTGGCAAGGTTTTCCAGCAGTGATTAGCCATTGCTTGGTTTCTAGGGCTGAGAGAAAACAACCAGCTCAAGGTCACCAAACTGGCTTTGTGTTTAGAACTTTGGGACTAGAACTCACCATCTTTCAGTGCCTTAAGCCAGGGCTTTTCAACCAGTGGTACGGGTACCACCTGTGGTACATTGGCACCTGGCAGGTGGTACGCGACCATCCTAGAAAAGTGATAGCGGGGGAGGGGAATGAGCTGAACTGGTGGCAGCACCGCACAAGACTGAGCGAGAGATGGCTGTAGCTGCAGGGCTGTCAGGGCTCAGCGGAAGCGCCAGGATCAGCACTAGGCTCCAGCAGGAGCTCGGCGCTGATCCTGGCGCTTATGAGCCCAGAAGAAGCGCTGATCAGCTGGAATGTTGCAGCCTCTCCAGGGTCTTGTGATTTCCATTCAGATGCTTGGCAACTGATTCATATTTATGACGGTCACAGTGTCCCAGGGTCATGTGAAGTGGCCAAAGCCTGCTGCAACCACCCAGTAGACGGGGGTGGGTTTTTTTTGGTCATCAAGTTTTTGACACCTTGCTAGTGGTCCTCGGATGTTGCCATATCCTAAAAGTGGTACAATGGGTAAAAAGGTTGAAAAGCCCTGCCTTAAGCTACACGCCTTCATATTTTTCTAAGGACTGCTTTCATAACTGGCAAAAATATGCACAAGCCAGATGTGGCACGGAGGTGAGGGTTATATAGGTTGTCCTCGACGTATGACAACAATCGAGCCCAATTATTCTGTTGTTAAGTGAGACATTTGTTAAGTGAATTTATGCCCTTTCTTGCCTCCGTTGTTAAGGGAATCACTGCAGTTGTTAAGTTATAACCCAGTTGTTAAGTGAAGCTGGCTTCCCCATGGATTTTGCTTGTCAGAAACTCACAAAAGGGGATCACAGGACCCTGTGACACTGCAACCATCATAAATGGTAGAATTAAAAGATATATATAACTGTACATATAATTGTATATATAATTGTATTGTATAGAACAGTGGTTCTCAACCTGTGGGTCGGGACCCCATTTGGGGTCGAACGACCATTTCACGGGGGTCGCCAAACAATGCAGTCCGCCATTTTTTCCCCCCTTTTCCTTAGCTGTGCTCCTCCCTTTGATTCTATTGGCTTTCGAAAGCCAATAGAATAGACTCTCTTGAATAGAGTCTAATTCTATTGGCTTTCCAAAGCCAATAGGAATTGTCCAGGCTGTCTCTGCCCTGCTGAGCCCGCCAAAAGTCCCATTCTGCAAACGGTGCTGCACCAGTTGAGTAGTCCTCGACTTACGACCGGTTGAGTAGTCCTCGACTTACGACTGGTTGGGGGGTCGCAGCATTAAAAAGGTTGAGAACCACTGGTATAGAAGGACGAGGCTTATATAGAGGTTAAGAACGGGATGGATTAAATTTTTGTACCATGAGAAACAAACTGTTAGGAAAATTCATTCTAGAACAGTGTTTCTCAACCTTGACCGTTTTAAGGCATGTGGACTTCCACTCCCAGAATTCCACAGCCAGCAATGCTGGCTGTGGAATTCTGGGAGTGGAAGTCCACATGCCTTAAAACGGTCAGGGTTGAGAAACACTGTTCTAGAATGTCATGTTTGTCCATTTTTGTTTTAATTGTATTATGAATAAAAAAAAAAATTAAAAAAAAAATGTGAACCAGCTGCCAATCGTCTGAATTTGGATCACGTGACCACGAGGATGCTGAAATAGTCCTAAGTGGGAAAAACGGTCCTAATTCAACTTTTTTTCAGTGCTGCTGTAAATTTGAATGGTCACTAAATGAACTGTGGCAAGTCGAGGACCGCCTGTAATATGACTCTCAATTGCCTTAAGCCGGCCTGAAAGAGAGGCGAGTTCAAGCATGGAGGAAGAACGAATCCTCTGGGGCCACTTGTACCTCTGCCCGTTTCAAACATTCTTCATCCAGTTGTTCCTGGGACAGGGCAAACGGGAACCAGCTTTTCTCCGGATTGAAAACCGGGCAAGGGAGGAAGGCCGGTGGACTCATCCAGATGTTGCCATCCAAACCCACCTTTGATGCCCACCGTCGCCCTCACTTCCTTGGCTGCAAAGCTGTTGGCCACTCGGCAGATGTAAACCCCTCCGTCTTCAGGGCGGAGGGGTCTCTGGAAGAGCAAGGTGTCCCCTTTGATCCTCACACCCCTGGGAAGGGGCTCGTTCAGCCTGTGCAGAGAGCAGAGACGGTCAGGACGGACAAGGAGGTCAACCATGGAACTTGCTGGCCCTTCCAGGACTCGCGAGAAGGAAAGGGAAGGAAAGAAGAGAGAGGGGAAAGAGAAGGGGAGGGGAAGGAAGAGGGGGAAGAAAAGAAAAGGGAGAGAGGAGAAGGCAAATGGGAAAGGGGAGTGGAAGGGAAGGGAAGGGAAGGGAAGAAGAGGGGAAGGCAGAGGGGGAAGGAAAGAAAAGAAAAGAAAAGAAAGGAAGAGAGAAGGGAAAGGGAAAGGAAAGGGGAAAGGGGAAAGGAAAGAAAAGAAAAGAAAAGAGGGGGAGAGAAGAATGGAAAGGAAAAAGGGAAAGGGAAGGAAAGGAAAGGGGAGGGAAGGAGGAAGGGAGGAGAGGGGAAAAGGAAAAGGGAAAGGAAAGGAAAGGGAAAGGGAAAAGAGGAGAGGAGAGAAGAGAAGGGAGGCAGAAGAGGGGAAAGGGGAAAAGAAAGGAAAGAAGGGAGGAAGGGAGGAGAGGGGAAAAGGAAAGGGGAAAGGAAAGGAAAGAAGGGAGGAAGGGAGGAGAGGGGAAAAGGAAAGGGGAAAAGAAAGGAAAGAAGGGAGGAAGGGAGGAGAGGGGAAAAGAAAAGGGGAAAGGAAAGAAGGGAGGAAGGGAGAGAGGGGAAAGGAAAGAAGGGAGGGAAGGGAGAGAGGGGAAGGAAGAAGGGAGGAAGGGAGGAAGGGAAAAGGAAAGGGGAAAGGAAAGGAAAGAAGGGAGGAAGGGAGGAGAGGGGAAAGGAAAGAAGGGGGAGGAAAAGGAAAGAGGAAGGAAAGAAGGGAAAGGAAAGAAGGGAGGAAGGGAGGAGAGGGGAAAAGGGAGGAAGGGGAAAGGAAAGGGGAAAGGAAAGGGAGGGAAAGGGAGAGAGGGGAAAGGAAAGAAGGGAGGAAGGGAGGAGGGGGAAAGGAAAGAAGGGAGGAAGGGAGGAGAGGGGAAAGGAAAGGGGAAAGGAAAGGAAAGAAGGGAGGAAGGGAGGAGAGGGGAAAGGAAAGAAGGGAAGGGAGGAGGGGAAGGGAAAGGGAGAGAGAGGAGAGAAGGGATTCAGGAGAGGGGAAAGGGGAAAGGGAAAGGAAAGAAGGGAGGAGAGGGGAAAGGAAAAGAAAGGAGAGGGGAGGGGAGAGGGGAAAGGGAAGAGAAGGAAAGGAACGGAAAAGACAGACAGGAAACGGAACCAGATACACCAATCCCACTTTATTCTAAGGCTACATGAACAAAATCTCGCAGGTCTGAAAGGACAAATCTCCCACCGTCTGTTTTACAATCTTGGGAGGCTAAGCAGCCTCCCTTCCGAGTTGCATCCACCTGTTGTGCAGCTGAGGGCTCAGCCGTCTCTTATCTGACTATTCCCCAGGCAGCATCGCTTCACCCCACCTCCCAGGGGTCTGCCCCACATCCCATCCCCAGATGTTGCCGATAGCATCACCCCACAAGGGACTGGTGACTCAAGCTCGGAACCCGGATCTAGTCGCCAACAAGTGCATGTCATGAGCTCAGACTGAGCGAGACCCCAATCCTCATAGACCAGGGGTTCTCAACCTTGGCAACTTTAAGACTTGTGGACTTCAACTCCCAGAATTCCTCAGCCAGCAAAGCTGGCTGAGGAATTCTGGGAGTTGAAGTCCACAAGTCTTAAAGTTGCCAAGGTTGAGAACCCCTGTCATAGACAGTATAATCATGCACACACACTAGGAGTTCAGGGATGCAAGTATTTCTGAACAGCATCCCACAGGATGTTTCTCTTCCTGGACTTCTGCCACTGATAAATTACTGTCCTATTTATGGGAGCTGCAGGGCAGCCTAGTTAGGGCACGTTATTAATATTCATCCTTCAGGTTTTAGCATGCAACACCCATTCATACGTGCGCCAGGCTCATGCTTTCCTTAGTGCAATGAATGGGTTGCAACTCACACGGCTCATTATTTAACAGTATTTTTTCCCCTCACCCTTTATTTTAAATATTTATAAGCTATTTCCTACACTAGCTTTTGGTGCAACAGTTGGGAAGAAATAGCTCGAAAACAATTACCGTATTTTCCGGCGTATAAGACGACTTTCTAAAGCGCGGAAATCGGCGTCGAAGTTGGGGGTCGTCTTATACGCCGAGTCGTCTTATACGCCGGAAATTACAGTAGTTTCTGGCGTATAAGATGACTTTCTAGGCATGCAACTCGGCGCCGAAGTCGGGGGTCGTCTTATACGCCGGGTCACCTTATACGCCGGAAAATATGGTAGATTGACTGGACTGCCCTCTGTCAGAAATGATGTAGGGACTTCTGCTCGCGCAGGGGGTTGGGCTAGATGACCTCCAAGGTCCCTTCCAACTCTGTTAACCTATCTAATAATCTAGATGAAAAATGAGCCTTGGTCAAAACCTGGGCCCAACCTCTTCAAGGGGTCAGAGAAATGTTGACGGTGACAAAGATTTTCAGCAGGCTAAAAACTGAGGCTTATTTTAAGAAATAAAAGAGGACTTATGTCCATTCATTTCGTGACCATCCCAAGTTACGACGGCGCTAACCAAGTGTCTTATAACCAGTCCTTGTACTTTTGCCCCATCTTACGACTTTCCTTGCCCCAGTTGTGAAATGAATCCGGCTTACCCAAAAACTTTGCTTGAGAGAAGGTCGTAAAAGGGGATTACATGAAACCCCCCCTGGGACACTGTGACCGTCATAAATGTGAGTCAGCCGCCCAGCGTCTGAATTTTGATCATGTGACCATGGGGGGAATGCTGCAATGGTCGCAAGTGTGAAAAGTCACTTTTTTTCCAACGCCTTTGTAACTTGGAATGGTCACTAAATGAACACTTGTAAGCCGAGGACCGCCTGTACCTTGCTGACACCTGGATTATGATTTTGTGGTTGTTTGGATGCAACGTATTATCATATTTGGTGGTCATGTAGAAATATAAAGGCTTTTTGGATCAAGATTTGGTGGAATATTCAGAAGATTTTTAATAGAAGGATAAAATTTGCACCACAATTGTTTTTGTTAGATTTTATTGATGACTGTGATGGTAAAGAGATTTTAATGTTGAATTTAATTACAGCAGCAAGGTTGCTGATTGGACAATATTGGAAGAAGGATTTTTTGCCTACTTTAGAAGAATGGCTTCTTAAAGTTTCTTATTTATCTGAAATGGCAAACAATTCGGCTTATCTGAAAGACCAGTCGCAAGAGAGAGATATTTCGGTGTGGAAAAGATGGGTGAATTTTATACAGAATAAATATGATATTAGAAAGCATTATTTAGCTTTTGAATGATGTATATTTAAGGGTAAGCTTTTGAATAACTTATGTGCAAGGATGGTAATTTCTGTTTTTATGCACTGGAGTTCAAGTGTTTAACATTTTGTTTTTGGGATGTATGTATAATTGTTTGATGTTCATTTAAATTCTATGTTTTTCGTTTTTTAACACTGTATTTAGCTCTGGGAAGTAGGGGGGAGGGGGTTGGGGGGTCGGGTGGGGGGAGTATTTTATTGTAAAATTTTATAAACTTTCAATAAAAAAAATAAATAAATCAAGGGGGGAAAGTGCAGCTGTGGCTGACTGTCTTTCTCTCCCTTCCCTGGCTGTTCATCCACCCCAAGGACATGTTGTGACTGGTGTTAACAGGGAAGAGAAATGGGGGGGGGAGGGAGGGAGCCATGACATCATCAACAATAGGTGCTGAAATCAAAGCAATGCCTTCCCTTTTCCCACGGTGACCTGATTAGCGGAGCCGGTGCTGAAACCTGTTTGGGCCCCACCCAAACTCTGCACATGCGGATTCCAGCAGCATCGGAGCTGCCGGGGGCATATCAGCCTGGGCCACTGCTGCACCCCCTCCCCAAACCCTAATTCAAACCCCAACCCAAATCTTAACCCCGATCCCAACCCCAGCCCACGGCCTCGCGCGTGCATTGATGCAGGCAGCAGACCTGCCCAAATGTGCAATTTGATGGGGAAACCTATCTTTATTTTTTTTAAAAAGAAAGGAAACACTGGGGGCTCTGAATAAGGGCTTTCTTCAGGTCACAAGATATTAATCTCTCCCCCGAGCAGGGGGTTGGTCTAGAAGACCTCCGAGGTCCCTTCCAGCTCGACAATGCTATGTTTCTTCAAACGCATGTTTGTCATTGCTTCCTGGGCCTTTTAAAATGGTACATTCTCCCCAGGAATGGCAACCAGAAGCCGTTGTTTGGATCCTTGCATTAGAGAGCAACTGACAAAGTCCTTGACTTACGACCACAAATTTAGACCAGAATTTACATTGCTAAGCAAGGAAGTTGTTAAGTGAGTCACTCCTGATTCTGATGACAGCCACCTTCCAGTATTTGAGAGACTGACACGGAGAAGACATCCTCTGGGGTGCCAACCTGTCCTCCAAAGCCCCTGAGGGCAGGACAAGAAGCAACGGATGGAAACTCATCAAGGAGAGAAGCAACCTGGAACTAAGGAGAAACTTCCTGACAGTTAGAACAATTAACCAGTGGAACAACCTGCCTCCAGAAGCAGTGGCTGCTCCAACACTGGAAGTTTTTAAGAAGAGACTGGACAGCCATTTGTCCGAAGTGGTATAGGGTTTCCTGCCTGAGCAGGGGGTTGGACTAGAAGACCTCCAAGGTCCCTTCCAGCTCTGTTATTCTGTTATTCTGTGTAGCCTTTTTGGTCAAGGCGGTTAAGCAAATCACTGCAGTTCTTAAGTGAATCAGCAGTCATTAAGCAAAGCCAGCTGCCCTCCCTGACTTTGCTTGCCAGAAGCCGATGGATTGCAAAAGGAAATCACCCGAGGCCCGAGACAGTGCAATTGACACAAACACAATATTCTGATCACAAGACCGTGGGGGGGAGGCTGTGACGGGCAGAAGTGTGAGAGCTGGTTGTAAGTCACTTTTTTTTTCCAGTGCTAAATGAAAATGTTTTTAACTCAAGGACGTCTTGTATTTGCTGCTGGGAATCTACCCGGTTAGTGTGCAAATGTTGCTTCATATCATTTATTTGAATGGGAGGCTGTCAAACTGCAAATGTAATTAAAACAGAGAGAGAAGGAGGAAGCAGAGGGTTCAAAAACAGCCATGCCTGTCCGGGGAACATACCATAGGAGAAGCCCGCCCACAGGGGTTCGATGCCCACCCCAGCTCCAGGCCTTTTTTTTCTTCAAAGCCTTTTCTAATGTCAGCAGGGTGGGGTCCATGTGGGTCTCGGGGTGGGGCTGGGGTGCTCCAAAGGGCAGGGGGTGTGATAGAGAAGATGGTGCATTTCCTAAGTCTCAGCAGTGTTGGACTGAAGAATAACAGAGCTGAAAGGGACCTTGGAGGTCTTCTAGTCCAACCCCCTGCTCAAGCAGGAGACCCTAGATTCAGACAGGTGGCTGTCCAGTCTCTTCTTGAACACCTCCAGTGATAGAGCGCCCACAACGTCTGGTGGCAAGCTGTTCCACTAGTTAATTGTTCTCACAGTTAGGAAATTTCACCTTAATTCCAGGTTGCTTCTCTCCTTGATTAGCTTCCGTCCGCTGCTTCTTGTCCTGCCTTCAGGCGCTTTGGAGAATAGCTTGACTCCCTCTTCTTTGGGGCAGCCCCTCAAATATTGGAACACTGCTGTCATGTCCCCCCTGGTCCTTCTCTTCATTAAACTAGACCTACCCAATTCTTGCAACCGTTCCTTATATGTTTTAGCCTCCAGCCTCCTAATCATCTTTGTTGCTCTTCTCTGCACTCTTTCTAGAGTCTCAAGATCTATTTTATATCATGGCCACCAGAACTGGATGCTCTATTCCAAGTATGGCCTTACCAAGGCCTTATAAAGCAGTACTAGCACTTCAAGTGATCTTGAAACTATCCCTCTGTGGATGCGGCCTAGGATGGCATTGGCTTTTTTGGCAGCTGCTGCACACGGCTGGCTGATACTTAAGTGGCTGTTCACTAGGACATCTAGATCTCTCTCAAAATTACTTCTATTAAGCCAGGTACCCCCTATTCTATACCTGCATATTTGGTTTTTCTTGCCTTGGCGGTCTTCTAGTCCAGCCCCCCGCCCAAGCTCATATCACCCTTAGTGCTTCTCTTCGCTAGACTAGACATACCTAATTCCTGAAAGCATGCATTATACAGCCTCCAGTCCCCTTGCAGAATGCAGAATCACGAAGTTGGAAGGGACCGTGGAGGTCATCTAGTCCAACCCCCTGCTCAGACAGGAACCCTACACCATTTCGGACAAATGGCTGAGCAGTCTCTTCTTAAAAACTTCCAGTGTTGGAGCATTCACCATTTCTGCAGGCAGGTTAATAATAATAATAATAATAATAATAATAATAATAATAATAATAATAGTTGGAAGGGGTCTTGGAGGTCATCTAGTCCAACCCCCTGCTGAGGCAGGAAACCCTACACCATTTCAGACAAATGGCTGTCCAGTCTCTTCTTAAAAACTTCCAGTGTTGGAGCACTCACAACTTCTGGAGGCAGGTTGTTCCACTGGCTAATTGTTCTAGAGACAGCCTCTCCCAGAACCCAGCAAGGACAGGCACGTGTCCTTTATTGCCATCAAGCCAAGGAGACCACGTTCTGGGCAGGCCACCAGGCTGCCAACCTGGGCTGCTCCGAGGCCCTCCCGCTGCCGTGTGACAAATCCTGCAGGGCGGCAGCTGGCAACGGCATTGTGTTCCTGCCGGCCGCACCCCCAGGAAGCCTGCCACCCCCCCAGCCGTGCTGACTTGGCTGTTCCTTCCTTCCCAGCTTGCCACAAAGGCCACGAGCTGCATTTTGCCCTGAGGCGCCTTAGCCGAAACCCACGGCAAGTCCCAGCTGGTCCCTCCCCAAAGACAAAGGCAGCTTACGAGACGGGCGAGAAGGAGGCGTGCTTGTGGAGGATCGGGCTCTTGCTTTCCGTGGGAGCCGTGGGAGAGGGCTGTGGCAGCCCCGCCAGATCTGGTGCCCTGCACTGGCTGGCAGGATTAGCGTGGCTATGGGGCAGCCTCCTGGCAACCTCTTGTCTTGGGGTTGGGAAGAAGGGGAGGCACCCAGGGGATATCATTTAAAAAGGCACACTGGGGCGATCAGCACTCTGGCTGGTTTTTATATGCAGGCATAGGTGACTTACGGCCATTCATTCAGAGACTCACTTGACCACCGCCTTGCTTAGGAAATTCTGGTCCTCTTGTGATTATAACTTCAGGATTACCTGTATGCCCTGCAGGGAGGGAGGGAGGGAGAGAAGAAGGAAAGAGGAGGAAGAGGAAGGAAGGAAAGAAGGAAGGAAGGAAGGAAGGATGGATGGAAAGAAGTAAAAGGGAAAGGAGAGAAGGAAGGAAGGAAGGAAGGAAGGAAGGAAGTAAAAGAGAAAGGAGAGAAGGAAGAAAGGAAGGAAGGAAGGAAGGATGGAAGGGGAAGGAGGGAAGGAAGAAGGAAAGAGGTGGAAGAGGAAGGAAGGAAGGAAGGAAGGAAGGAAGGAAGGATGGATGGAAGTAAAAGGGAAAGGAGGGAAGGAAGGAAAGAAGGAAGGAAGGAAGTAAAAGAGAAAGGAGAGAAGGAAGAAAGGAAGGAAGGAAGGATGGAAGGGGGAGGAGGGAAGGAGGGAAGGAAGAAGGAAAGAGGAGGAAGAGGAAGGAAGGAAGAAAGGAAGGAAGGAAGGAAGTAAAAGAGAAAGGAGAGAAGGAAGAAAGGAAGGAAGGTTGGAAGGGGAAGGAGGGAAGGAAGAAGGAAAGAGGAGGAAGAGGAAGAAAAGAAGGATGGAAGAAAGGAAGGAAGTAAAAGGAAAAGGACGGAAGGAAGGAAGGAAAAGGGGAAGGAGGGAGGGAAGAAGGAAGGAGGAAGGAGGAGGAAAAGGAACGAAAACAGGGAAAGGAAGGAAGGAAGGAAGGAAGGAAGGAAGGAAGGAAAAATAGAGAAGAGAGATAGGTAGGATGTAAGGAAAGAAGGCTGGGGAATTCTGGGAGTTGAAGTCCACAAGTCTTAAAGTGCCAAGTTTGGAGACCCCTGTTCTAACCAACAGCCCACTGAACAAACCAACTTCAAATCCTTGCCCCCTCTGCTACTAGGCTACACTAATAAGCCAGGAATCAAGGCTAAAGGCATCGCACCAGACTCACCGAGACCAGTTGTAGTTGGGGGGTGGGTTCCCATCTCCGAGGCACTTCAAAGAAGCCCCTTCCTTGCCTTCCATCCAGTCCTGCTCCGGCTCGTGACCCAGGATGGAGGCATCAGAGAGGTCTGCACGAGGGAGGGAATGCGAGGTTAGGCAAACAGAAGGGATGGGGAAGAGTATACCCATGTGGCACAGCCCTCGTAACCAGGTCCTTGGGCTGAAGCTTCTTAATGGAGAAGAAGGTAGAAAAGTCGTGGTGAACAGGACAAAGCCACAATTAACACCCCAGGTCCAACCTCAAGCCAAAGAGAACATGATCACCAGGACTACAACTACAGACAACAAGCAGATCTGTCTGTCTGTCTGTCTGTCTCTATCATCACCTATCTATCTATCTATTTATCCATCATATCTCTCTCCCTCTCCCTCTCTCTCTCATCTACCTATCAATCATCTATCTATCTACCTATGTCTCCCATCCATCCATCCATCCATCCATCCACCCACCCACCCACCCACCCACCCACCCACCCACCCACCCACCCTATCTATCTATCTATCTATCTATCTATCTATCTATCTATCTATCTATCTATCTATCTATCTATCTATCTATCTATCCATCCATCCATCCACCCATCCATCCACCCATCCTATTTATCTATCTATCCATCCATCCATCCACCCACCCACCCACCCACCCACTCACCCATCCATCCATCCATCCATCCATCCATCCATCCATCCATCCATCCATCCATCTATCTATCCATCCATCCATCCATCCACCCATCCTATCTATCTATCTATCTATCTATCTATCTATCTATCTATCTATCTATCTATCTATCTATCTATCTATCTATCCATCCATCCATCCACCCATCCTATCTATCTATCTATCTATCTATCTATCTATCTATCTATCTATCTATCTATCTATCTATCCATCCATCCATCCACCCACCCACCCACCCACCCACCCACCCACCCACCCACCCACCTATCTATCTATCTATCTATCTATCTATCTATCTATCTATCTATCTATCATCAGAAATGTATATGGCTGCCCAGTTCACAAAAGGTGACCTCAGGTTCCTGACAACATTAAAAGTCACAACATAAAACTCCACGAACCTCCCCCCTCCGGCCATGGCAGCAGCCCCCAATCAGATCAGCCACTTTATCAGCGCCGTCTCCATTCAGGGTCCCCAAGACCATGGATGAAAACGCAGTTTTAGGCCCTTTTGGGAATCCGACGTAGTGGGGGCCACCTCCAAACCTCTGGAGGAATTATGAGGTGAGAAGGGGCCACCACCGAGAAGGCCCTTTTGGGTGGCCCCACAGATGGACATCCCTGATTGATGGGACCCCCAAAATGTCCCGACTTCCCGTCCTGGTGAGCTGGGGGTGTTTCTGCTGTTCTCCCATCTGCAGAGCATGACAAGCTTAGATCCCCACCTGTTCACACACATAAAGCCCAGGGGTCAGTCCCAAGTTCAAGTGCCACGTGAGGGTAGTCTATACCCTTGGCACGGAAGGTCTACAAAAGACGGCCATGGGAGGACCGGCATGGTGGAGGCCCATGTGAAGGTGAGAACAGGTACCTACAGGCCACACTGAGGGTGTGAGTGATCCTCTTCTGATGCTGCAGTCCTGGGTGGGAAACCACACAGGTCAAGGCCTTGCCGTGCATGCTGCGCCCCGGGACCAGGTAGAATTCGCTGGTAACCGAGGCTGAGCGGGAATGCGAGGATTCCTGGTTCTTAGCTGTTCCGTGGACTTCGGTCTCCCAGGTCACGGTGGGGATGGGGTTCCCTTCTGCCGTGCAGGAGGCAGCCAACGTGCGGCCCTGCCCTTCCTCAAGCGGGGGTCCGAGGTTCAGAGTCGGCAACGGGGGCACTGCAAAGATATGGAGAAGCCCAAATGCGGCTCAGGAGACATGGAGGACAGACTGAGATCCCAGATTGTGGGATCCTTGGTGCTCTCTGAGCTTGGTTGTTTTCTTGCAGACGTTTCATGACCTGACTAGGTAACATCATGCACGTGAGGGAGTGTGGGATTTGCTCCATGTTTATGTACAATAACTTGTCCTGCCAGTATTTTTTTGGGAGGGGGGAGTGATGTTTCTCCTTAGTGGTTCTTTGATTGAGGTATTGTTTTTGCCTGATTGTTTGTCTGGTGGTAATCCCTGCTTATCTAGATCAGTGGTTCTCCACCTGTGGGTCGGGACCCCATTTGGGGTCGAACGACCATTTCACGGGGGTCGCCAAACAACGCAGCTAAACAAAAAAGATACCCCCATTTCTCCATTCTGAAATACAGTTTCTGCTCTCCGGGAGTTGGTTGGGGTGCGAAGAGACCCGCTTCGGACAACCAAGGCCTGTCCAGTTTCACCTGCCCAATTTCAAAATCCCGTTAAAACTTAGCGTCTCTCAGCCATCCTGGAGGCAAGCGCAGATCCTAATTGCCCTAAAATCCTACACACTTTTAGAGCTATAATTAAAGGCAGGTCTGGGAGGGGCTCAGGGGCCCATCCGGAGCTAGCAGGACGGTGTCCCCTCCTTTGGGGCACAAGGGAGTCAAGTGGGAGCGGCAGGGCTAGCTCCTCTAGGTCCGTGCAAGGAGCTACCCATCCCAGCAGGAGAAGCCCGGCGTGCAGCCGCCTTCCCTGGCCTCCCTCCCCTGGCCAGTGGCCCTCCCAGCTCGGCCACCCGAGGGCCAACTCAGTCCTGCATACGTACAGGTAGTCCCTGACTTACAAAAGTTCGTTTAATGACCGTTTGAAATTACAACAGCGCTGAAAAAAGGGACTCATGACCATTTTTCACATGAGCGATGCAGCCTCCCCAGGGTCGCGTGATCCGAATTCAGACACTTGGCAGGTGACTCATATTTGCGACGGTCGCAGTGTCCCGGGGAGAGGGGGTGTCACGGGATCCCCTTTTGTGACCTTCTGACCAGCGAAGTCAAAGGGGAAGTTGGATTCGCTTAACAACCCTGTTACTAACTTAACAACTGCAGGGATTCACTTAACAACGGTACCAAGGAAGGTCATAAAATGGGGCACTTAACAGCTGTTTTATTAGCAACAGAAATTTTAGGCTCAGTCCTGGCCGTAAGTGGAGGGTGACCTGTAGCTCATTTAATGACCGTTCGAAGTTACAACAGTATTGAAAAAAGTGACTTCTGACCGTTTTTCACACTTACGGCCATTGTAGCCTCCCTAAACAGCTGCAAACAGTCATAAATGCGGGCCAGTTGCTGAGCATCAAAAATGTGATCACCTGACCAGGAGGTCATCTTCCAGTGAACTTCAGAATGGGGTTACAAATACCCCGAGGAGGTTGCCGCAACAGTCATGAGTGTGAAAAACGATCATACATCACTTTTTTCAGTGCCATGGCAATTTCAAATGGTCGTTAAATGAACAGTTGTTAAGTTGAGGGCTGCCTGTGCATATGCAGGACTGAAGAACAGTCAAGTCACTTTTTTCAGTGCTGTTGTTAACTTCAAACAATCTCTAAATGAACTACAGGTGATCCTCAACTTATGACCCCAACTGAGCCCCAAATTTCTGTTGCTAATAAAACAGTTGTTAAGTGAGTTTTGTCCCATTTAACGACAGTTGCCACAGTTGTTAAGCGAACCACTTTAGTAACAGGGTGGTTAAGTGAATCCTGCGTCGCCATTGACTTTGCTTGTCAGAAGGTTGCAAAAAAGGGGGTCACGGGACCCTGCAACCGTCATAAATACGAGTCAGTGGCCAAGCGTCTGAATTTTGATCATGTGACTAGGGGAATGCTGCAAGAATCAAGTGTGAAAAACAGTCATAAGTCCATTTTTTCAGTGATGTTGTAACTTGGAACAGTCACTAAAGGAGCTGTTGTAAGTCGCGGCCCGCCTGTATTGTTATTTGAGGACGATCAACACTACATCTCAGTGAGGCCTGGAGCTGCACCTCCTCAGGTGTGCTTACCTAGGACCTTGAGAGCCAAATGGGACTCGAAGTTGCCCCGGGGGAAGGTGATGAGGTGGCACTCGTAGCTGCCCTCGTCGGCCTGCACCGCGTTCTTCAGCAGGACGGAGCCGTTGACCAAGGAGCCCTGCCCCTGGCGCAGCACCCGGCCCGCATAGGCCTCCTGGATGTGGACCCCATGCTCCGAATTCAGGATGGCTAGCTCCACACTCTGCCCGCCCTCCCCTCGTTTCAGCCAGGTGACCTGCAGCACCGTCTCGCCCGGCGTGGCCTGGTAGCTGCAGGGGAGCACCACGTCTTTGCCAAACACCGCTGTCACGCTGCTCCGGGACTCCAGCACTCGGGCCAGCAGACCTGGGGAGACGACAGAAAGGAAGGGCATCAAGGGAGTGGGGGGGGGCTCCCAAGTTCAATCCCGTGAGAAAAAGAGAAGGTATGATTTTGGGATTGTGCAATGCAAGTTCCCCTGTGTTTAAAACAACAGCCCCGTTAGCAAAAAGTCTACAGAAAAATGCTTAGGTTCACAAAGCGAAAAAACTGTGTACATGTGGAAGAATTGCTTGGGAAAACGTGTGCGTGTTGGGCAAAATTACAAATAAGGGTTTCTGTTTGTTTCTTTGGAGAAATGTGTACTAAGACAACTGAAGGTTTTTTTTAAAAAAAACATACAACTCTTTTAAGTTCCTGCAATCAACTTGACAAATTCAAGAAAAGTGAACTGGAGTCCCAAGGGCCAGTCCGTCCTGACCACACCGTGGGGGTCTTCTAATTCGACCCCCTGCCCAAGATCATAGAATCATAGAATCAACCTTGGAGATCCTCTAGTCCAATGGTTCTTAACCTGGGCGATATTGCCCCCCCAGGGGGCGATTTCATTTTTCAGGGGGGCAAAGGAACGAAAAGGGGGCGATATGGGGGCGATGGAGCAAGAGGTTTTGGGGGCACTTTTGAGACTTTTTCATACAGTGAAGCGCTGTATATCTGATGGAGGGGGGAGCGCTTCTTTCGAAACATCGCATGCTGAGTGGCTCTGTAAAACATTTTGTATTGTACTTTTTTAGCGTGCACTCCAGTTCGATATTATATTTTCTTTGTGTCTTTTTAATCCTTTTTACAGTGTGCGTGACTATATATAGTTTCCTCGAAACTTAATTTAGTTTCAGAGTTTTCGTCTTGAAATTCTTAGTTCCTGCATCGCGGTTTGTTCTTATGCCCTTTTTATATTTCTTTTTGCATCTTAAATTTCACTTGTAATTCAGTCATTAAATGTTACTGTTTTTCTTTTCGGGCATTTCACTTTCTTGCCATTGAATTTCGTTTTCAGTGGTCCTTACATTTAAGCGTCTTGAACAAATAAGATAATCATGAAATACACGTATCACGAAGTTTGGGAATAAAGTGACGGGTGGCACCCAAATTTTTCACACCGTTGAGCTATGGGGGAAAAGACTGGAAATCAATTATTTGCATCGATATGTCCTGATGACAATTTTAAAGAAAACCAAAAAAAAAAGGGTTTGCATAAATTGAAGAATTCTTTCCTATGTTGTGATTGAGAGGTTGTGTTGGGGGGGGGGGGCGATGACAACTTCCTCATTGGCTCAAGGGGGCGATTCGTTCAAAAAGGTTAAGAACCACTGACTCTAGTCCAAACCCTTCCGCAAGGTATGAATGAAAATGCCTTCCGTATCGCCTTCTCCTCCGAGCCGCATCTTCACCTCAGAGAAGCTACTCAAATCAGCTGCAAGTTGCGCGCCCAGGAAAGTGGACGGGCCCGGGAGTCCGGCTCAACCTGCCTGCACGGATGCCAAAGCTTTGCCCCGGCTTGTGCGGATCCTGCCCCTCCCTCCCTGCTTGCCTGCCATGGTTTCCTCCGCAGGAGGAGTGTTCTGTCACACACACCTTGCAAAATCGCACCTTCTGCCAGCTGCCTGGATAAGCAGATTTCTCCCTTTTGTTTTTTAAACGCAAAGGCCCGTCCTTCAAACTCCGCACTTTCTCATACCCGATAAGAGGGTGACAACGTCTCCGGTGGGCTTCTGGTCCTCCTCTATTTTCCCCCTGCTTTTTTTTTTCCCCCTTTCAGGTAGTCTTCGGCTTATGTCCACAACTGAGCCCCATGTTTCCGTTGCTAAGTGAAACATTTGTTCAGTGAATTTTGGCCCCCCCTTTTTTTTAATTGAAAATTTTTAAGTTTTACAAAATAATTCCCTTCCCCAACCCCCCCCCCCAACCCTCCCATACCCTCCCCTGACCTTCCCAGAGCTGAATACAGGCTTAGTTAAAAAATTTTCAAAAAATCTTAAAACACATATAAACCATGAGCAAATCTAAATACATTAATTAAACAAGTTATAAAATAGTTAACAATAATATATAAAAAGAAAATACAAAAAGGAAGGAAGAAAGAAAAACAAGAAAAATGAAAAAAATTTTTTAAAAAAGTCTATAAAGTGTCTTAAATTTTAAGTATAAATTATTAAAAAACTAAATAATATTTTTTTATATCCAACTTATATTGTATAAAGTCTATCCATTTTTTCCATACCAGAAAATACTTCTCTTGCGATTGATCTTTCAAGAAAGCCGAAATCTTTGCCATTTCCGCCAAATAAGAAACTTTAAGAAACCACTCTTGCAAAGTAGGCAAAGATTCCTTCTTCCAACATTGCCCTACTAACAACCTTGCAATTTTGCCCCCTTTTAAGACTTTTCTTGTCCCAGTTGTTAAGTGAATCACTGCGGTTAAGTTAGTAAAATGGTTGTTAAGTCAATCTGGCTTTCCCATTGACTTTGCTGGTTCAGAAGGTTGTAAAAGGGGATCACGTGACCCCTGCAACCGTCATAAGTATGAGTCAGTTGATGAGCACCCAAATTTTGATCGCGTGACCGCGGGGATGCTGCCAACGGTTGTCAGTGTGAAAACCGATCCTAACTCACTTTTTCAACCCTGTTGAAACTTTGAATGGTCACTAAACAAGGACTACCTGTACATTGTTGTGGAATCTACTTTGGGAATGGGTCAGGCATTCATGATCCCAGCAAAGCTGGCTGGGGAATTCTGGGAGTTGAAGTCTACAAGCCTTAAAGTTGCCAAGGTTGGAGAGCCCTGCTATAGGGTCTTCTGCCTTGAGCAGAGGGTTGGACTAGAAGACCTCCAAGGTCCCTTCCAGCTCTGCTACTGTGTTACTGTCACTGAGTTATGGGTGCGAGAGCCTGCCTTCCCATTTCAGACCATTTCCTCTCCAGGGACCACATCATTGATCTGGTATGTGCTCCTTTGCTTGGGAATCACCACTCCTTGTGGAAGACAACAACACAACAAGAGAAGAAAGACACGCCTCTCAGTGCCGCTGTGCCCCCCCCCCCCATCCACATCAGAGGAGGGCCTGACTTTCTTCTCGGCCCATCTGCGGGCCCCCAGCCTGACCCAGGCCTTTCATTCACACCTGGCAAACAGGCACCCGGCCACGAGATCCAGGCCAGGAAACACAAGCTTTCTCTTACAAAGTCAATGGTAAACACCCGGAGTCTGGTTACTGAACAACTTCCTCATACCAAGATTAAAATTCTTCTTCTTTCTTTTCTTCTTCCTTTTTCTTCTTTTTCTTCTTCTTCTTCTTCTGCTGCTGCTTCTCCTCCTCCTCCTCCTCCTTCTTCTTTCTGCTTCTGCTTCTTCTTTTTCTTCTTTTCTTCTTCTTCCTCCTCCTCCTCCTTTTCTTCTTCCCTTCTTCTTCTTCTTCTTCTTCTTCTTCTTCTTCTTCTTCTTCTTCTTCTTCTTCTTCTTCTTCTTCTTCTTCTTCCTCCTCCTCCTCCTCTTCTTCTTCTTCTTCTTCCTCCTCCTCCTCTTCTTCTTTTCTGCTTCTTCTTCTTCTTTTTCTTCTTCTTTTTTTCTTTCTGCTTCTTCTTTCTTCCTCCTCCTCTTTTCCTCTTCCTCCTCTTCCTCCTTCCTTCTCTCTCTCTCTCTCTCTCTCTCTCTCGTGTTGCCCTACATAGAGCTAGTCCTCAACTTACAATAATTCACTTAGTGACCATTCAAAGTTACAGCACTGAAAAAGGGACATGACCATTTTTCACCCAACCATTGCCGCATCCCCCACGGTTACGTGATGAAAATTCAGACGCTTGGCAACTGGTTCGTATTTATGACGGCTGCAGAGTCCAGGGGTCCTGAGACCACCTATTGCCACCTTCTGACTGGCAGTGGGGAAGCCAGATTCACTAATAACCGTGTTACTAACTTAACTACCGTGATTCACTTAACAACTGAGGCAAGAAAGGTTGTAAAATGGGGCAAAACTCAAAACTTAAGAACTTTTTTGCCTAGCAATATAAATTTTGGGCTCTAAATGGTCGTAAATTACCTGTGTTGAAAAAAGTGACTAACAACGGGTCCCTCCTCTTATGACCACTGCAGCTTCCACATGGTCACAGGATCAAAATTCGGACGCTTAGTAACTGGCTTGTATTTGTGACGGTGGCAGCGTCCTGCAGCCACACAATCATTGCTGATCTTCTCAGCTGGCTTTCAACCAGCAAAGTCAATTGGGGGGGGGGAGCTAGATTCATTAAACAATCACACGATTCATTTAACAACTGCAGCAAAAAACTTCAGAAAATTGGACATGATTCACTTATCGACCATACGGCTTAGCAACAGGTATTCCCAGTTCCAATTGTTTTTTAAATTGAGGACTATCTGTGTGTCCAGTTGCTTATTGCCACTGATGCAGTCAATCATATTTATTGATTTATTTAATAGATTTACACCATATAAATTTAGAATAGAACAGAACAGGACAGAATAGGAGCTGGAAGGGACCTTGGAGGTCTTCTAGTCCAGCCCCCCACTCAAGCAGGAGAACCTATACCAGGGGTAGGCAACCCAAAACACAAAGAGCACTTGGACCTGTTTCCCACCAAAAACAAAACACTGGGAGCCACAAAACCCTTTTGACATCTAAAATGAAGATAACACTGCATATATCCTTTTTTACCTATATGTTTTCTGAGGTTTTCGCGGGTGTTTGTATGTAGGTCTTTGGTTATTTGGGTTTTCTCCCACGTAAAATTGGAAGTGTCTTGGCGACATTTCGACGAAGTCTCATTCGTCATCTTCAGGCTGGTGCTTTCGGCTTCGTGCTTCTTTCGGCTTCTTTGCTCCTAGAAGCACGAAGCCGAAAGCACCAGCCTGAAGATAACGAATGAGACTTCGTCGAAACGTGGCCAAGACACTTCCAATTTTACGTGGGAGAAAACCCAAATAACCAAAGACCTACAGAAAACATATATATGCAGGGGAGAGGCAATAGAACTTAAGAATGGGGGGAATGCACCAGAGGTGTGCCTTGTGA